GTGGAACCTCGAGATATCAAAATTTTGGGCTGAAATTTAAATTCAATTTGCTCTAACCCATTTGGAACCATATAATGACCCAGGCAATATGAATTTCAGAAAAACATTTTTTCTCTGAAACTTAGTGTTCGTAGAACTTATAAATTTTGCTTTGGCCAGAGCCCGCTGATCCAGTGGGCTTGCTCGCTAGTTACAAACAAATACAATTCAACTGTTGATTACGTCTGAACTATTCATTTTAAGAACGTAAATAACAGGACAGTAATGAAAGGTAAAGCTCAGTAAAACTATTCCGAAATCTTTATAATAATATCTGTTTCAGATTCAGCACTAAGTCCCTACTGTACAGCATCTAAGATAGTGAGTACGATATTTGAACAATTTATTACTTGAAACAATTGTTTCCGTTCTCAGAGTTTAAGGCCTATAACTGGCTCACATAACGTTACCTTGCGTATCATTTGAAACTGAAATATATACTAGAATAAATGTAATTAAATGATCATAATATGGTTATCATAATTTTGCGACAAATCGATAAATTTTTCGATGTTTTAGGAGCTCCAATTTCATCAGTATTACGTTTCTATTCATTTAATTTACCTATTTAGATCACGTTAAAGCGACTTTTAGAATCTGTATGCAAAAGACGAAGTAATGGCAATTTTCAATTCCTTTAACTACGTGATCTGAATAAGCCACTATATTACTTCCCTCAATTATCTTGTTTCAAAGAAAATGACATACACCTTAATGCATAGTAATTTGTTAGAATGACATCTTACAATGGAAGCTAATTATTTAATTAAACATGTTAACCTTTAAATCAAAGTAATGGAAATGTTTAAATGAAATAATGCTTTTCTCAGTGAAGTATACTAGAATTCAGTGTACCGCTTATTTATTCTCTTAGTGACAATATATTTGTTTACATAAAGTTCATTAGATAAACTTGCCTGTTCTAAGCAATCAAAATCACGTTAATATTAAAAATTTACACTGAATAATATACCGGAGCCATGGATGCGTAAAAAGTGTTCGTAAGTGGATTGCATGTAGTATTTTACTATTTTTGCAATTAACTAATCATAAGAATCATTTCTAAATATGTTTATATATGCCAATCATTTTTCATTTGAGATGTATTCATTTGACTGACTTCCATAGTTGCATTATGTTGTCCTAACGAAAATATTAAAATGTAGTTAAATCAAAAGGATTTTTCTAAAATGCAAATTCAAGAAATTTACACAATAACGCTTTATCATTTACACAATCAATAATATTGAATATACCATATATCATGATTCAGTCTTATAAACTAAAAGTACAGTACATATTATAAATATAATTCCAGCTTTTATTCATGTATGTAATAGATTTTAAACTTAACATCGAGTTCAAATTGTCATTTCAAGATTTTAGATGTACTATGGAAATTCATTTACATTTCTAGAATGATGTAATTAATTTTAATTGTTAATTATGGCTATTTCTTGATCTGAGAATGGGAAATTGTTTCATAACTCAAATTTCAAGTATTGCAGATGACTGTATTAAGCCAAAATATGAACCTAACCGTTTAGTATTCTGCACAACGGAAGAGTTTTTATCCTGTGATGAAAATAAATTTATCCTTAGAGAGAAGTGGTAATATCTCTTTATTGTTGCCAAAAACGTTCTGTTTCTGTGTTACGAGTATTTCAAATCTTTGAGCAGTTTAGAAAGTGCGCAGAAGGATTACATAAAATGGCAGAATTTCATAAGAGCGTACAGGATTTAATGAAACATACGTTAAGTTAGCATTTAGTTAATGATAACAGTGAAAGAGATGGTCCTAGAGATGCAAATTTCAAAACGCTTGTGTAATTAACAAGTATAAAATTCGCAAGTAATGTCCTAAAGACGCTTTCACTTATTCAAGGAATCCAGCTTTGTGAGAAAAAAAAATTACTCGTGATACAATAAAAGACATTCAGAAATGTAACTAAGTATTATGAAACATAAATTTTCAGAGCTACAATTTTTCAGTTAATATTAAATTCTGCAGGCTAAAAGCAAGTTATACCATTGAAATTAAAGTTGTAAAATAATTTAATTTTTAAGTGGTAATTTGTCGAGACCTATTTAGCTGTTATGTTTACGGTCAAATATCAAGTATAGTACAAAATGTGATAATCGTACAGAAATCAAATAAGTAGAATTTTGTATCTTTAAGTTCCTATGAATGTAATCTAACAATTTTTCTCAAAAACAACCCAATGCAGGCAAAAACTGAGGCATTATCTACTACTAACAATGGAATGCAAATGTGCCCATAATATTCCGGATAGGAAACTCTAATCCCTTTGAAATTTCTTGCAGAATCCTACATATCGCAAATTCTTAATTACTTTGAGTAAACTAATTACTGTAATGTACGTTAAAATATATTTCGATCATTATATTTTATCATTTACGGACCAGTAAGCAATTGTTACCATCGTAATGTCACTCTTCACGTAAAGATTACTAACACATACATACATTAAGTACGCAAATAATGTTCTAAGTTTTTAAACGAGTTGTATTTAATATCTATGCTTTTATATTGTACCTTAAATGTACTAATAATAAGATAGTTTTCTATACTACAGTGAAAATTATCATGCGTGGGTAAAACTTTGTAAAGAGTTGCATAACCATTATAGATTTCTCAACTTTAATATCCTAAATTTTCTTAAATTATACCTATTTCTCTTCTCTACTAATAATTTATTTTTCATAAATTATGATTGTTAACAACTAAATCCGCGTTATAAGCAACAGACGTCTTTATATTATTATCCTAGCCATGTACTTTTTAGTGTAAAGAGATAAGTGTGGATGTTTTGCTCCTAAGAAATATCAGTAGATTTTGCTTTGTGCAGAGAATCTGGGATCAATAGTATTTCAATCAAATATCAATAAATCCTGAAGTGTAACAGAGCACAAATTCGCAAATTTTCAGTGTTGTAATTATTTATAACAGTATAATAATATTTACACCTTATTATCTTTACAACTTCGCTGTAATTAACTGTTTTATCAGATTCGAAATCTGTTTTATTTAATAATTTATTATTTTTACAATTTATTTTAAAATTATCTTTACACTTTCCCTGTAATTATCTTTATCCGTTTTATCTAATTCTCTGAAATTTAGTTAGTATCAATCATTATCGCTAATTAATTTTAATTTTACCCTGCTATAAAAGCGAAGCTTTTAAAGTAGGGTCACAAAAGATACGTTGGATTATATCCTGAACATTGAACTTCTGAAGGTTCATATAAGTAGGTGTAACACCTAACAGAAGGATCAAACAGAATAGAATATTGAAATGGTTATTAATGTTATTTCTAACAATGGAATGTATTAGTTGGTAACACGAAATATTTTTAATTGCTTAATGATTGCCATTCATAGATTTATTTTTCCCCATGGTCAATGACACACAATTAAAAAAAATTGTCTTGCAGCCAAAGACACCAGACTGTTAGAAAGAGCATTTATAATTCGGTCGTCATTCTATTTTATGCTTCTATTAGTTACATAATTTCATGGATTCTCCAGAAATTGAACCTTCAGGTCATTTTATCACCTATAAATAAAATTCATTGTGCGATTCTTAAAATTTCGCTCTTTAAATTTAATTGTTGGAGACTTAATGAATAGGAAGATCAGGATGCTCAGAAGGAAGTTTCTGATCCCTGATGAAGATGTTTTTTAACCATCGTAAATTTAACTCAGTTTATGATAGTATCTAGTAACACTGACATGAACAAAGCGACAGACGTGTTTAGTGACAGTGCCATGCAATACTTTAAGAGGGCGATTATCAAAAACTAACAACTTTAGAGACTATCATTATCAGAAACTAACTACTAACAACTATTATCAGAAACTAACAATTATCAGAAACTAACAACTGTCTCAATTAAATGTTGAGAAAAACAAAGCGAAAGATAGATGAGTACATGGTGTAATGAAGTTTTAAAGAACTCTCGTCATTTTTGAACGAATAACGAACTTTATTAGTCAAAACTTACAGAATAACTGAAGAACATTTTTTAAGCACGTGCATTGTCTGCGGATATTTTTCGCGCATAATCGTTTGCGGTAATTTACATTTCTTAGTGGAATTATGTTGGTAGCGTTAGCAAAGCAAATACGTTACAGTATTAAATTACTTCCTTCACGGGGAACTTTTTTTCTTTCAAATTGATGGAACTTTCAAGAAAATTTTCAGTTTATATACATTATTTTTTTACAAGAGAAGGATGTTCAGTTTAAATACATATAAAATGTAATATTCTAATATTACAAAAATTTAAACAATGAAGTTTTAAACTTCCTAGAATGCATATTTTTAGTTCTGAGATGTTTGGATACAACGACTTAAACCGTCAGCATTTTGATGGTGCTTCTTCTTTCTATGCGCAGCTTCATAGTTAAAAGGTTGTAAGATCAAAGCCCATTGTAATAGTCTAGGATAAGTCCAAGTGTTTTCATCCAGCCATACTAGAGGATTATGATCAGTCTGAATAATGAACTTATAAGGTCCATCTAGATAGAATTTTAAGTTTTGTACTGCAAAGGCAATGGCAGCACACTTCCTTTCGATTGTACTGTACTTCTGTTTAGTAGGTGAAAACAATTTGCTAAGAAATATATTGGATGTTCTTCGCCTTTAGCATTTATATGTGATAATACAACTCCAAAATCAATATTTGAAGCGTCGCACTGAACGATAAATGGTTGAGAAAAGTTCGGACTGTATAAGACTGGATTTTGTGTTAACCGTTTCTTGAGTTCATCAAAAGCATTTTGGCAGTCTTCAGTCCAATTTATGGTTGATTTGTAACATTTTCCTTTAAACAAATCTGCCAGTGGTGCAGAAATAACAGAAAATTCAGAAATATGCTTTCGATAATACACAGCAAGCCCTAAAAATGACTGGATTTGTATTTTCGTTGTAGGTTTAGGGAAGACCTTTATGGCTTGGATTTTTATTTCTGCTGGTCTTCTTTGACCTTGTCCTAATATCTATAGTAAGATCTAGAACAGTTATATATCTGGCAGATGACACTTTTTTCACTATATGTTCAATGTCTGGGAAGGGGAAATATTGTGTCCTAGTTGTCTTGTTCAAGCGACGGTAATCAATGCATGGTCTTGTCTCTTTTCCAGGAACTTCAACCAGTATGAGTAGAGAGGTAAAATACGATTCACCTAGTTCTATTACTTTGAGTTTTATCATCTTTCCTACTTCAGTTTTAAAATCTCGGTTGGTCTGGCAGACATCCACTAAGGTTTTGCGTATGTCGGTCTTTCTGCTTTTAATTCTTCTATTATTTAATTTTTTGATTCTATCATGTTCGGCAAGGTCAGTACATCCTGGTTCATTAGAGATAATACAGGAATACTTGTATATCAACTGCATTAAATCTTTTCGTTGGTCTTCAGATAATAGTGAATTCAACTTGATGCTTTGCAAAATTTCAGACATTTCAGTATCTGCGCTATAATTTAGTCTCGGTATTTTATCTTCATAACTGTTTATCCTGTCTTATAATCATAGGAAGTTTATATTTTCTGCTCGTTGAAAATACGGTTTCAGCATATTAAGGTGGTGCACCTAAGTTTTATTTTTCTCGGGAAATTAAACTATATAATTTGTCTCTGATAATTGTTGAACTATATTTCCAGGAACATAATACTGATAGTTTACCATTTAACTGATAGTTTGTTTGGCTCTTCTTGAAATTTACGTTCTACGGCTTTGCGATCATACCAGAATTTTGCTTTTTTTTTTTTTTTTTTTTTTTGGATTCTTCCATATGCTGGACAGCTAGTTCTTGACATTTCCCCATTCGATTCATTAGTTCAAAAACATAGTCCACTACTGTAGTTTTTTCCTCTTCTTTACCAGATAATTTTTCACACGACAGCATAATCGGAGTTTTTAAGTTTCTGTCATGAACTAATTCTGCAAGCGAGAAACCAGTACTGTCGTGATTAGTAGTTGAAGAGCAAATAAACCCTGAGGTAAGATTTTATCCCAGTCCGGACCAGATTCTAGACATAAGACTCAAAGAATTCTTTTTAAAGTTCTATGTATCCTCTCTATAGGATTGCTTTGTGGGTGGTAAACAGAACTTCGAACAAATTTAATTCTAAATTTTTATAGGAAATTCGATGTCAGTGCACTCGTAAAAGATGTAGCTTGGTCGGTTTGGACCTCCTTTCGAAATCCCATTCGACTAAAAATTTGAAGGAAAACTTCAACAATCGTGGTTGAACAAAGATTTGCGACATGAACTACATCCGGATATTTTGAAGACATGCAGATTGCAGTTATAAACTGCTTATTTCCTGAAGGTTTCACCGACAGAGGCCCACAAGCATCAACATTTATTTTTAAAAATATTTCTGTGATAACAGGGGCAATTTTAAAAGGTGCTTTCTTTTTATCTTGCGCCTTTATAATTCTTTGACATTTGTCTCAAGTTTTAACAAAATTTTCGACATCTTTGTAACAATTCGGCCAATAAAAATTTTGAATAATGCATCTTTGGTCTTTGTTGCACCAAGATGAGCTGCAGTTTCTTCATGACAAATAGTCATCAACTGCTTCCGATATTTTTCAGAAACAACAATCATTAGTCTTTGTGTTCCATCACGATCTTCGTTTTTGAAAAAGAGCATTTGGCCTTTGCCCATATATCTTATACTTTAAGAAGATTTTATTTTAGCTTCTTCATAAATCGGTTTCAATTCGACGCTCTCCTTCTGCTCTTGTATAAATATTTCACGAGAGGCCTTTATCTGATCTAATTCTGAACATTCATATTTCACAGGAGGCAAACTTTCATTTTCAGTCAATGTGCCTTTGTCGTTAAGTTTAATTTCAGAATTTAACTCATTTGTTGAGACCAGATTTTCCGTTTCTTTTAGTCACAAGTTTGGGCACAAGTTTGTATGGCGTTTATCATATGAACTGGAATTTCTTCATCTAGTTTTCAATTTGTGGAAAATGGATTTTACGTCTTTCGTCATATCTTCTTCAGAGTGTTGGTATACTGAGAAATATAAAAGAAGCCTGTTTCTGAATTAGCAAATGAACAATTCAGAAATTAAAAGGCCGTAAATGAAGAACCTGTTTTCCCATATTTAATTAATATAATTAATAGCAAATCATAAAATTAAAATGAAGCCGAAAATCGAAATGCTCCAGGATAAATAATATAAACATTTTAAAAATCATTTTAGAATGTGCAATGTGCAAGAAAAAAGTGTAATTTTGAATTTTTGACATTAGAATAAATACAACTATTAATAGACAAAAATTTCTAGCACCAAGAAGAATAAATAAATACGTAAGCAGCATATAAATCACTTAATTCTCTAGATTCGTAATTTCTCTAGATTGCCAACAAATCCACTATTCTGCTAGTAAACAATTATGCCCGCTACGGTAAAAATAACTAGATTTACCGGCGCTTAAACACTTTTTTAATTATTGCTAATTCTACAAATATTGCATGCATTTTTATTAAAGGCATAAAAACCTTAACCGGAAGATAAGAACAATATAATTCTATCATTTTTTAAAGCATAAAATGCGAAATTTACAAACATATAAGAATAAAGAAATTGAGATCAGTGAGCCGAGCAACAGAGTAGATGATATATATATATAGATATATATATATATATATATATATATTTAAATTAACTTTAAATTTGCTTATTACGAATAGAGAATGTTTTTAAATTCATATATATATACATTTTTGGGGCGGCCAATTACAACCAAAATCGAAAGTACGCATCTACATGATATATCAGTCCTATATACAAATATTCAAGGTTCTGAGTCTACTCGTTTTTGAGTTATGCGAGATACATACGTACGTACGCACAGACGCCACGAAACTTGCGCACAGATGTCACGCAAAACCATCGTTAAATTGCATTCGATAGTGTTAAAAACGGATATTTTCGTTGAAATATGTTACCCGAAATTTTTCGCGATTACAATACTTCCTCTTTACTTCGTACATGAAAAAAAAAAAAAATAGGAATAATTTAAGAACAGTGCTGCCAAGCAATTTTCATGGCAACTACTTCACTGAGGAAACCTTAGAGACCATTTTTTACTTCCTTGTACGAAGTAAAAAGGAAGTATTTTAATCGCGAAAGGCTTCAGGCAGCATATTTCAACGAAAATATCCACTTTGACAGCTTTCGAATGCAATTTAACGATATTTCCGCGTGATATCTGTATGTAAGGACAGAATAAAAGAATCTTTTCCTCCGAAACTGAAAAACTGGTTTAAAATGAATTCTGAAGATAATTTTTCGTGGCGTCTGTACGAACGTATGTACGTACGTGCGTACGTACGTATCTCGCATAACTCAAAAACGAGTAGCCCCAGAACGTTGAAATTTTGTATATAAGACTACTATAACATGTAGATGTGCACCTCGTATTTTGGTTTCAATCGGCTGCGTCAAGCGTATATAAATATATTTATAAATATATCAACTCTGTTACCCGGCTCAGTAATCTCAGTTTCTGTACTCTTATATGTTTGTAAATTGTACATTTTTTACTTTAAAAATGATTGAATTATGTTGATTTTATCTTCCGGTTAAGGGTTTTATGTTTTTAGTAAATCTGTATGCAATATTTTTAAAATTATCAACAATTTTAAAATTAAGCCGCTAAGCCTAATTTGATGGCGGCCATTGATGTTTACATTTGAAACAGGAGACTAGTGGATTTGTTGCCAATCTAGAGAAACTTAGCTTCGCGACAACAAAGATAACGCATTCATTTATTATTGCCAATTAAATCATGCTTAACCCTTTCTTGAATTTTTTCGAGGAAATAAGCGTTTCAGATTTACTTCGTAATTTTTAATACAGATATTTTGAGTTTTTATGTATTTTTGCCTTGTCGCGAAGTGAGAACTGAATTAATTGAATGAAAAATACTCAATCGTCTGTGAAAAACTGTTTCTTTTTTGTTTTGTTTGCTTAATTTCTTTTATACATAATTCTAGCTTTATTATATTACTTGAATAGAATATGAGGCAACGATTCGATAATTCTTTAAATGATATAAATTTTGTGCATTCAGAGTTAATATGAACGAAATATAATACTGTTAAGTAAACCTAGCGCCAGAGTGTCACTACGGTAAACAAAGTGAATTTTAAAGAATGCCTTTATTCTATTGTGGTTTATGCGCTGTCGGCGAAGTAGGTTTAATTCAATCTAATAAGTTTAAATAAAATGCAAGAAAAAATGCGTATAATTTAATATTCCGTACAAGGAAGTCATGTGGTGTACACATCAGATTTTTTTATATATGTATCAGATTAATTTATGAAGTAATTACAAATGATTAACATAAGTAGATACATCATTATTATTTAATTAAATTTTCCATCGATCAAATGCGATTCCCTAAATGCCATTATCCTTTATAATTAAAAACTAAAAATTAATAATCCAAATGAAGAAAACTTCTTTCTAATTTTACCTAATTTCAAAATCATGTATGTAAAGCATTAATAAGTGTTATATATTGATTAAATCAATAGATATCCATCTCATTTTTATTCTTTATTTATTATTCGTTATCGACCTAGATTAATATGCTTCCAGCAATAATAAATCTGAATACCTTTACTTATACTTATTCCTCTTCATCTTTTGATCTAAATTTCTCTCCCCCCCTTCTTCTTTTCCCTCATTTCTATCTCGTCAACAAATAACGCCGTAAAGCTCAGTTTTTTTAATTCCTTCATAGAAGTAAAGGAAGTATTGTAATCGCGAAAATTTTCGGAATCGTATTTTAACGGAAATATCTATTTTAATCCGTATTGAATGCAATTTAACGATGCGCTTTTTGCTTTACATTTGTGCGTAAGGAGAGAATAAAGCCCTCGTTTTGCCAAAACCGGTTGAGAAAGGATTTAAAATGGATTAAAAAGATATTTTTGTGGCGTGTGTGCATGCCTATATATGTATGTATCTCGCATAACTGTAAAACGAGTAATTTTGTATATAAAAGTTTAGTAACATGTAGTTGTGCACCTCCCTTTTTGGTTGCAATCGGCAGCACCAAAAGCATATAAATATATATATGTATACCCACTCGTTACTCGACTCCGTGAGCTAAACATTTTTTTTTTTTTTTTTTTTTTTTTTTTATTTATTATTCCTATACCAGCCGCTGAGTGGCCAGTCTTCGTCTGGCTTTTAAATGTACCGGAAAAATGCCAAAAAGGAGCACCAAACATTAAATTAAAAAATTACTCAGAATTTTACTCTGCAAAACAACTTTATCTAAAAAAACAAAACAAAACAAAACAAAAGGAAAAAAACACAAATTTTAATAAAAATGTATTGCATACAAAACAAGTACTATAACATAAGCTATATCCTTTAATACAAATATTAATTATCCAAATAAATAAATTAATTAACTTCCCA